GCCTGCCCACGTGGGCAGGAGGTCACAAGCTGTCGGTGGGTATTGTCTCCTGCAGGGCAGCTTCTTAAAAGGAACCTGATAGATTATTCTCCTACCGGGAATAAGCTCAGGAATGCTCATGGCTCAGGGACTCTAGGCGGAATCATCTTTTCAGGAATCTATGTGCACTCAGGCAGCTGTAACTTTTCAGAGGGAAAATAAATCAAGAATTAAAAAAAAATTTTCCAGTGCACCTTCTCTGTAAGAAGAATCAGTTGGCCTTAGTTATAGAGTGAATTGCAGCTGCAGGCAATCTTGATATTTCTTTGGGAGCTTGACTCACGAGAGATGTGGCACCATGCTGAATTCTCTGGTTGGAAAGTTTGCGATTGTTTTGGACAGTCACTAACTTAAATGAAAAAGCATGGTCTTTGTCAGGCCATCGAGTAAAAATGTGCTGAGATGTTAGTTAACTGTTTATTTAACTGATGATCAGTTTTGGTGAGTGAAGTGAAAGGGAAGTGCTAGCTTTATGCAGATGAACAAGGAGAAAAAAATGAAAGGGAAAGTAAGTATCAGTGAGAGATGTTTCTGGCTGCCTTTCAATTCCAAATTGGGCTAATTCTACCTTCTGAAAAGAAGATAATTTCCACGTTTCTGTAATTGGGAACACATAATTGAAGTTATTTTCTCTCAGAAAGAAGAAATCTCTTGTACATCATTTGCAAATGGACAGAAAAAATGACCACATACAGTGTACTCTGAATGATGGCGCATTCATCACAGCATTATCTTTAGATGTCTTTGCTGATTTTGCACAGTATTTTTTCCAATTCGGGTAAAAATGTGAGTGTGCATGGGGAAGGTTCATGTAGGAGAATGCACTTTGCTAACTCCAGAGCTCCCTCTTTCTGGGCAGCCTTTAAATCGGAGACAGATGGTTACTGGTGAGGTCTGCAGTACAAAATGCATGCCAAAGAAGTGCTGAAGCATGTCTCAACTTAGTGTACCAAGATAATCATGCAGTGATTCCACACGACTGCTTCTTTTGACCTGGCTTTTTAGGAACTGAACTTTAATGAGGAAGACGAGCGGTTGTTGCAGTGCTCTTGAGAGCAGCACAAGCGATTAACTCACTTCCTTTTGTTTGTAGCATGAAGATATTTTCTACTGCAAGGTTTAACCCTTAGAATGATGGCATTTTCCTAGGCATCCCATTAATTAAGCAGTCAGCACAGTGTTTATTCAGGAATGCATTTGCAAGTATGACTGTGGTTGTCATGGTGCTCCCCAAGGTGGCTTGGTAGTTGACAGCAGTAGCAAGGACTGAACTCAGGTACTCATGCTACCAAAGCAGGCCAAGACTTCTATTTTCACTGGGCAGTTCATCATCTTTGGTATTGCCGGGATTAGCCAGACAAAATGATGGTCAAAGGCTCGGGAGGCCTGAATTGCAGTTCTGCATAGACCACAAATCTGCGCTGTCTGTAGCTCAGGCAGTATATATTTGGGTGTGCATTGAGGTGTCATGGAGGAAAGAAGAGAGCACATGAAGATACCTATGGTAGATTAGACAGTAAATTGAATTTCTAGACAGCCTTGATCAATGTACAGATCAGGAGAGAATAGAGGAAGTTTAAAAAACAACAACAAAACCCTGTTTTGTAAGGAAAGCCAGAGTTATATTTTTACCCTGACCTAACAAAGGAGGAGGAAGGAAATTGTTTTGCTGAAACAAGCATTTTAGGTCAGACTAAGGATACACTTTTCTCTCTGTGTTTGTGTGCGTGCATGTCCCAACAAACTCAACAGCATGTTCATATGCATGAAATGTGTTTTCCTGGAGGCGTCTATTCAGTGCGTGCCGTGCAAGGAGGAAAAAGATGTGCCTAGCACTGCTTAAATGTTGGTCAAAAAGGCACAGCATTTTAGTCAAAATAAGTTAAAAAGTCTCGTAACATTATGGTTGATATTTGTTATTTTTGCTGACACTGGGTACTGGATAAGAAATTTGCCTGGTTTAGAAATGTGCGGTGTAGATAGAAAATGTGAGCGCAGCCTATTTATTGTGTGTCTGAGGCCTCCAAGTGCGGCCTCCAAAAACAGAGAAAGTCAGGGAGGACTTCAGATCTGCAGATTTCATTCTTTGGTCTGAAACAGCACAGCCTGACTGCTGAGCAAAGCAGGCACAACCGACTCCTGGATCCGTGGATGCGGGAAGCCGGCACAAAGGAGAGGCAGAGGGCTTCCCACTGGCATGCCCAGGAGCAGAGCGCCCTGCTGAAACACAGCGGGCCGCCCCAGGCCAGCGGCAGACCGGGCTGGCAGTGGCCGTGGTGCACCCTGGAAATGCTGCGTGCTTGGCCCCAAGGCCAGCTGGTGCCGCGTGGCGACACGGGGCTGGCAGCTGGGTTTTCAGCAGTGCTTTACCGCAGAAAGAGGAAGGATGGGTTGTGGTTATGGCACTGGACGAAGACTAAACGAAGTCTAGGCACGGATTTTGTCTTTGCCTCGGACTCCACATGTGACGATGGGCAAATAACTGTACCTCCGTGCCTCTCGCTTCCCTTTTCGGTGAATAGGCAGCTCCTCATGCTGCGTTCTTTGTGTCCGTTCACATTATAAGGCCTCAGGGTAAAAGTCCATGAAAAGCCTAGGGAAGGTGTCTCAGTTGTCGGGGTGGCAGTGGTCATTCCTTTCTGCATGGAAATCGGCACAAGAGATGGAATAATATTTTAAGAGGTTCAGTTGCTTGATTGATTTCTCAGGCTAATAAATCCTTGGCTGCACTTGCTGTGTTAAAATATATGTTCAGGCGAGATTCATGATCAGCTCTTAGGAACAAGAGAGCAAAGGAAAAAAATACACTTCTTCCAAGATTAAATGCTTAACATTTGGCAGCTTTAATTGGCCTATTAATAAGCCTTTTTTTAGAGTTATTTATTATCTTTAATGAAACAGTTGTCTGCTGAGCTTCTAAAAATAGCCATCAAAAACTGGCCACGCATCTGAGTGTGCTGGGTCAACTACCTGGTTCTGAAACTTCCAGTCACGTGGGTGTCCTTACCTCCACCAAAGTGATATATCCCATGGGGGTGGCACTTACCTGACTTACAGAGCAAATTCAAGTCCTGTGCACCATACAGCCCTGTCTCTCATATGAAAAAATAAGTTGGTGGTAGCCCAAACACATCAGCATGGTTGCATTTGTACAATAGAGTTTATTGAGCTGTGCGTGGATGTTCAGGATTTCCAGATGTTCAGCAGCGTGCTCAGAGCAACTGCTAGGCATCCCGAAATCCTGGACAAATGCACAAAATCCTTGGATATTGCTCAGATGAAAACCCTCAGCTGGAAAGGAAAATATCTCTGGGAAAACCTGAATGTATGGGAGGTCCAACCTCTGTTCTCGCGGAACATATGGCAAATGGGCCATGCACAGCCCTTCAGGGAAATTCGTCGAGCCTGTGGCTTATTCCAGGTGCCCTTCCTTCCTGGGGACCCTGCCACCCATTTCCCTTGCGCACGACTGCTACTGCTCTAGAGAGCACACGAAGGGCAGGCAGCAGGTGCAACTGCCGCCTTGCGCTTGCGCAGTAAATCTGGCACCGCCAAGACGTGCGTTCATGCCACTGTGCTCACATCATGGGCGCAGCACATGAGGTAGGTTAAGGTGACAAGGGAGGGGGGTAATGGTATACAGCCTAGCATGGGATCTAGAAAAATAAGTATGACAAGGTCAGGAAAATGCAGGAGTTCGGTTGCTTAGAGTGGATGATTGAAGTATTATTGCTAAGCACAGTTCTGAGCACTCCTCTACATTGATGGATGTCTCATTTGAAGTCTCTTTCTTGCCTGAAAGAAAAAAAAAAGCCTGAAAGCATTTAGTTAATTCTCTTGCAATGCTGTGAAGCTGCTGTTCTCTGTTGAAAATGACTGGATCCATAAAGATTTATCATGTCAGGTGTGTGTAGTCTCTGAGCTATAGGTGACCGGTGTTTCGTTTGTCCAGTGATTTTGCATTTTCTTCGCATTTAGATGGGTATGATGCATGGAAAAATACTTGTCTCTAGACTAATGCTCACAGGACTGAGATCTACAGTCCAATCCTTGATGAAAGCAGGAATTAATCAATTAAATCACTTGCTTTACAGAAATACTGTATTTCATAAATAAGTTAATTTTCACATGCAAGTCTTTCAGGAAAGCAGTGCACACAAGGAAAGCTGATGTCAGCATCTTCTAATCCTGAAATGACAGAGTTCCTCATTACACGCGCCAAACTTAGCTTTTTCTAAGAAACTCTTAGGCATCAGACTGTTTCTCTGCTTCTCAAAATACGCCCATAGTTCTGCTCTTTTCCAGGGAGACAACTCGCTGAGATGAACTGCAAATATTTTCTGCCAGCTCTTAGCACGTGAAGACCAAGAGGTCTCGATTTCTAAGCACGTATTAAAACCTTTGTATTCCTAGTACTAAAAATCTGCAGGAGTACCAGCTCCTGCTCTCACTGATGTCAATAGCAGGATTTGTGTCAAAACAAACAAGCAAAGAACATAACTAGCAGTTAGGGATTATCTATCTTTGTCCATATACTACACCAGTTTAGGAGTGACTGTTCTAGCATCTTTTCTATTGCGTTGTTAAATGGTGGAAGCTTTTGCCAAATCCAAACTGAAATGCTTCCAAAGCCTTTTTCAGTGTTGGAAAATGTTTGTATCGAGTTATCCTTGGAATAATTTTCTCCTTTATTTATTATTATGTGCTACCCAGTAGACACCTAATTATGAGGCATAGAACACTCCTCATTCTAAGAGGATATATAGCACTTCACTGGATGTTTTTAGGAGTCCATTTTCATTACATTAAATGGGATGTTTACTTGCGTGAATCCCTCGGGTTTTGAAAAAAGCAAAAATAGGACAAAGAATGAATTTAACACTGAACAGCCAGTAGACCATCTTAGTGTGGGGGAATGCTTTTATACCACATCACAGACTGTTTGTCCTTTTTATTTTCAGAGCGGGTATCCAAGCTCTGGGCCTGCATCAAGCACTCCTGCCTTCAGGCCTGAGGATGAGCTGGAACATTTGACCAAGAAAATGCTGTATGATATGGAGAATCCTCCCTCAGATGACTACTTTGGTAAGCAGTGCCATGTCTCCATGACTCAGTCTGTCCGTAGCCGCTTTCTGTATCTCCCAGGTTCTGTAATGGGGAGGCCTGACAGCTGCACTGTTAGTGTAGCAATGTTCATATTGACGGATTTGCTTTCTGTGCTTCGACTGGAAGTGTAATCATGCATAGGGAATTTCCCTGTAATTTCGACATAAATCTCGTGCTCACTTGCCGTATGTAAAGACCGTAAACAGCCTTTCTGCTCATGAAGTTGGATTTTTCTGTATATGATTCCTTTTGACACCACCTGTCCTCAGCTTCTTCGCTACCGGGCTGAACTCAGGTATGATACGCTGTCTTGCCTGTCTGCCCGGCCCCTTCCCATTGTACCTGCAGTAACCCTGGCAGCGTGAATGCATTCTGCTCCTGAGGCATGGGTTCTTATTTCCTATATACTGGCATAGATCAAAAGGAAGTTCGTTTTGAGTCAGTCAGGTTGGTTTTGCATGGACACCAGTTAGCCCAGAACTGGGTCCAACAGATGTGGGGAAGACAGATCTGGACCGATTGGCTCATTATATCTGTGTCATCTTCCTTCCCTGGAGAAGATTAGCAGGTGATTTCCTTTTCAAGTGGTATATAAATGTGTTATCTCAGGCATCTATAGGTATAAAATATACATCTTACCTCTATATAAAAAAAGTGATATACTCTGCACTGAAGTCAAGAGACTTGGGCATATTTGATATGTTTCCCCTCTCTGTTTAGTTTCTTACAGGCTTGGGTGATAAGAGTTCTTAGGAAGGAAATTGCTATAGTTTGTAGAGTTTAAGGCCAGGGGAGGCCGTTCATTTTGTCTTCTTTGCCTTCCTTTTTATCGCCACTTCTTAAAAATTTCATTTAGATTGCCCCCTAGGTCTATGGCTGTAGGTTTTAGTCGGACCAAGCATTTCTGTCTTAAAGAGACTTCAGTGTTCTGTTCAGTCAAAAATCAGGTGAGACCAAGATGTCACTGATGAACAAAGACCTTGCAGTGACAAGGTTTTGATTAAATGAGAAAGTTGAGATCTTCTCATCAAACGTTGCCCCACAAGATGAGGTATACATAAGTCCCTTTCTGCATCAGTGCCCTCTACTTCCCATCTTGCCCCTCACAGCTGGAATGCCTTCTCTACAAACCCTGATAATTGTCAAAGCTAGTGATTAGCGCAGACCCAAGGTGTGAGCCAGAATGACTCACTGAAGAGATGATAACCAGAGAGCATTTTCTGTGCTACTGTAGAGCTGTGTTTGGCTTCATCTCTGCCCCATATCCATTTGTGCACACTCTGTGATGTTTTAAAAGGGAAACAACAACCGAACAAACATAACATGTATTTAGCTATTAGCACATGTGGGCGAGGGGGAAGAACCTTTTTCCTGTTCCCTTCAGGCAAATGGCTGAAGCCCTGAAGCATGAAATTTGATTACAGTCATTTTCTTAATGCAGAGCTGTAAGTGGCATGAGCAGGTTGAGGGACTGAAGCCCAACTCATTCTCCCCGTAGCCCATAAAGGAAGGCAGGTGAACAGAGAGTGTGGAGATTCACAGGATCCAAGGTCAGAGAGGACCTTGCCATTGTTCAGCCCAATGTCCTACTCTCAGTTTCTCCCAGGAATTTGATTGAATCATGACCTAAAAAAAAAAAAAATCTAATCTTATCTCAAAGACTTCAAGCAATGGTGAGTCAACCACCTACCCTGATAAGCAGTTTTAGTGATTAATTTTCCTTGCAGCTCAGAAATTGCTTCTTGAAGTGGAGCTTTAGTTTTGTTTTGTTTAGCACTTGTATTTATGAAGCTGAAATGCTGGCGTTTTACATTATGCTAATATTGTCTCACTAAGATGTCTCTACTCTGTTTGGGAGTGTGGTACATCAAATCTTTTTAATCCAAAAGGGATGCATAGCTCAAGGGACTGGGATATAAAGTCTCTCAATATTGGGTCATCAATTCAATTATCAGATGGGAGGTCACACTAATGCCATGCCACTAGCTCTTTATTCAACAGGAAACAAGGAAATGAAAAGCAAGCTCCAGAGCATTCAGAAATTGTTGTTATAAACAGTAGCATGATCAAAATTTGAGTGATCATGATGCAGGCTGGAAGACCAAAACCAAACAACAACCCCAGTCTTAGCTCAGGCAGGTGATGTTTAATTAGAAGCTGTGCTCTGACTGACCTTCTAATTGCACTGAGTCTGTGCCACTGAGGATTATCTGAAACAAAGCCTCCAGCCTTGGCCTTCTGGACATGCAGAAGGACTACGGGTTGGGCTGAACTCCTCAGTTCTCTAAGCATTTTGTGCTCCATGCAGCAGTTTGGGAGGCTTACCCGCAACTAATTACAAGCCTACCAAGAAGAATGCAAAACAAAACCAGCAGTGCTGGGGCACAGCCACTTTTTCTGGTTGGATAAAAGCAGAGGTGGGTTGCTGTCATCCTCTGAGCTTTGTTCCAGTCTGAGCTACTCTTGCAGGAAAGAGGTCTTTTGGATCACAGTGGCTGAGACCTTTTGATATGGTAGCGCAGGCAGGGAGTTTTATACTAATACTGGCTATGTCAGGGGTAAATATTCATCTACCTGAGCTGTCAGCTTAGTATCTTTCAGTAACTTTATGCTCATGTGGAAAGAAGAAATTGAGTGTGGGAGGAAAAAAAAAAGAGTCTTTCAGCTTTGGTTAACTGTATCAATATCTCTGCCTTTGTTCTTTATTTGTTTAGCGTGGTAGTGTGGATCATACAAGATTCATACGGCACATTGATCAAATAATCAGAAAAAGGACAAATGGGCAGAGACGTAGACTCTGATTTGCATTAAATGCCTTCTGCCTGAGGGCTAAATGCCATGGTAATTGTAGCATACCAGATAACTGTCAGCTAATCACTTTTATTAGTTTGAATTTGGAAAACTGGATTTCAGCATATTAAAAGTTGGTTAAGAGCAGATAGGTTTTGAATTGAGGAATCTAATTAACCTTGCTAGAAAGCTGCAAGGCGTTATATTAAGTCATGAAAATAATTTGTTGGAATAATTACATTTGAACTGTCAGGCTGGAGAAAGGTCATTTTACTTGGCCCGTCAGCACTCTGGATTTTTTCTGTAACCATTTTCCTTGTGCAATTTTACTTTCTATATTTCTGGTTTTGATCCAGCCATGTTGTCTCTGGAGTCAGCGTGGGCAGCGTGGAGGCTCTGGGGAAGGGAGGAGGAGTAAGGGCCACTAAAGATTTGTCACTCTTAGCTCTGGTAATGCGGGCTGGTGCTGCTGGGAGGCTGGTGGAACTGTGTTAATGAGCAGGGCAGCCTGCAGTTCCAGCAGGCCTGTGTTCCCCAGGACGTGTCTCTGCAACTTCCTTGGGTCGAAATTACTGAAGGTGTTTTCAGACACAAGGGAATTGTTCTAGGCAGTCATCATCCTAGAAGGAAATCACGCAAGCACACAGACCTGGTGGCCCAGCCTAGCTCGCACTGCATTCTTGTGGAGGCAAGGTACTTGGTGAAGAGGCAGAAGGATTGTGCTTGAGACCCACTTTAGAGCAGCAAGAGCACAGTTTGTGGCCGTCGGTTGCCTGGGCCCGCCACAGCAGCAAAATGTACTCACTGAGAAGTCCTCTAGTTGCCGTTGGCAAGGCAGTGTTTAAACATGGAAATATCATCACTGGGAATAGTAATTAAAAAAAGAAAAATCTATGTGAATTGTTAGGAGTCGAACAAGCATGCTGGGTATGCTGCTTAACTTACCTGTGCAGAAAGGCCATGCTGCCACACTACATCTTAAGCGCTGCAATCCTTGGTGCATCTCTTCTCGTAGCCCTCCTCTAGGTTATACAGTGACTTGCCCCATCTCCCATGAAGTCCTTGGCCAATCAGCAAATTGAAGTCTCCCAATGCTAGGATGCCCTTCCCTCCTTACTGCTGATGCAGTTGCTGATCTGTAATGGTTGGTTGTCTTTAATCAAATCCCTTTTTATTAGAAAGGATTCCCAAACATGTTCTGCACTGTGCAGTAGGGATATTCTGTCTGAAATGTGCTATCATAGATAGGCATGTTTGATTTGTTCAAGAAAAAAAGAATACTTTGTGGATTGGGACTGGGTGGGGATGGAGGAGGAGAAATGGAGATCGACAACAGATTACGATGAAACTATCAATGGTTTGTTGGTCAACATGGGGCATTAAAGCCCCTGATTTTGCATTAAAAAATGGAAAGATCACAACTGTTCTGGACCACTATTCGAGTCTCATAGAAAGAAACAACTTCTGGCAGCTTCTCAGTCTCTATCACCAGGCAGTCAGTGCTGATCAAGACTGGAAAAGAGCCACCAGGGCTCCTCATCTCCTGTTGCCTTCTGGACTATGTCCCGGCTGAATCACTCCCTACAGCAGAGGAGTTTCCCTGACTGGTGGGAAGAAACTCGTGCTGGCATTTTACCATAAGCGCTCAGAGCTACCAAAGTGGCCACCAGTTTTATGTATCTGATACCACAGCAGTCTCCTCTCATAGTTCCAGTGTCCTATAAGGATGCATACGAAGACAAGAGCTGTCCTAAGATGCTCCCATTGAAACTTCTCAGTTTGGTCATTAAATGACCTTGATTCGTCTCAGAGCTGACACTTTGGGAGCTGTAGGTTTTCTTGTGCGTATTTACCAGATGTGGACTGAATGGTCGCAGTATCTCTAAATTAAACATGTTCTGTGTTGCACTTCAGTCTTCATCAAGCATTTCTGTAAACATCCCCTTTTTTATCTACTCAGGTAGCCTTTTAGTTTCATCTGAATTACCACCAAAAAAAGAAAATAAAAGTTGTCATATTTTGCATGTATTCCCAGGTCTCTTCTGAAAAGGTTATTACTAAAAGATGTGGCTTATTATTAAAAAACGTAATTACATTGTAATTTTGCCATGTAATGTAATGTGTCATGCCTTTTGTTTAAAGATGGGAGTTTCTGGTGCAAGATAGCATACGTTCTCATCTGAACAACA